GATGATGTTACTCGCTGCCTCGATAGCTTGGAAAAGCTAGTAGCTGAACACCGAGGTGCTCCACCCCCACATCATGTTGCTGATTCTATACCTCACCCTCTTAATACCAACATTACTCTAGAACCATATCCTGCTGGCTTCAAAATACCACAACTAGAGACTTACGACGGGACGAAGGATCCCGATGACCACCTGCATGCTTTCTACTCTTGCATGCAAGCTCAGAACGCTTCTGACGCGTTGATGTGCAAAATTTTCCCCTCTACTCTCCGAGGTAATGCCTGAACTTGGTATTACAGTTTACCTCCGAGGTCAATTAGCTCTTATACAGAAATGACATCTGCCTTTGCCACTAAGTTTTCCAGTAGAAGGTTGATTAGGAAAACTACTTCTGAGCTTATACGAGTTAAACAGAGGGATGGAGAATCTCTGAAGAACTATATGAGAAGGTTCAATGATGCAGTTTTAGAGGTTAGTTCCTTTGATCAAGCTGTGGGCATTGCAGCTGTGATCTCCGGTCTCAAGCATGACAGGTTCAGAGACAGTTTGATCAAATATGCTGCCACCAGCTTTAGCGAGGTGAATGATAGGTCTCTCAAATTTATAACTGCTGAGGAATACGCCCAGATTGGAGAGATGACAATCCGAGCAGGAAAAGGATGAGGATGGCGCAGAACTGAGGTTCGATGTTGACCTCCCCACCGAGATTCGGAAGGACGAACTCAACACCCCCGCAGCAATCTGCAGGTAAACCTCCAGTTAATTGGACTCCCTTTAATATGCCAAAGTCACAAATTTTTATGCAGATCAAGAATAAGATGGATTTAAGGCGTCCTGGCCCAATGAAAACTGCTGCTGCTAGTTGAGACCACACCAGATATTGTGATTTTCATCAAGATCACGGCCATACTACAGAGCAGTGCAATAGCTTACAGTCCGAACTGGAAAGTTTAGCTCAGAAGGGAATGCTAAATGAGTATGTTCAGAGGGCTGAACAGTCGAGGTTTATCAGAGAACAGAGGCCGCAGCCTCAAGGAGTCCGCAATCCCCCAAATAGGCAAGGTGTGGGATATCAGCAAGCCCCACCTCCGCTCCCACCACCAGTTAAAATCATACACATGATTACGGGAGGCCTTGAAGCAGGTGGACTGAGCTCTAAGCAGTGAAAGCTTTATGTTAGAGAGGTTAAACATCAAAACCGAGCTCAGAAGTGGAAGATTGACGATGCTGAGTGGAAGAATCAACCCATTACTTTCACATCTGCTGACCTCGACACAGTTGTTACACCCCACAATGATCCTCTGGTCACTTCTGTCATGATCAATAACTGTGAAGTACAGCGTGTCCTTGTTGACACCGGGAGTGCACCAGACATTATGTACTTCCACTGTTTCGAGAGTCTGGGACTAGATCCAGCATTGTTGTAGAAGTATGATGGTCCTATCTATGGTTTTAACAACCAACCTGTTCCGGTAGAAGGAGTTCTTACCCTCCATGTGGCTTTTGGGAGTGGCCGGACCTATGTAACCCCTTCAGTCCGGTTCCTCGTCGTCAAGATGGCGTCCTCTTTCAACATTGTCATTGGCCGACCCACATTGACTGAAATCCGAGCTGTGGTTTCCCAATCTCACCTCTGCATGAAGTTCCCAACTCCTATGGGAATAGCAACACTGCGAGGAAACTAAGAGGTGGCCAGACATTGTTATATCACCTCAGTAACACAACCAACGAAGGGCAAAGATCAGACACCCGAGGCCATTCCCTAGCGAATTCCTGATAATCAGCACGTTATGGGTGTAGAGATCATCGATAATCAACCGGACGATGAAGCCAGAGCTGCTCTAGTCGAAGATGTTGAAGAAGTTCTTGTTGATGACAGAGATCCGAGCCGAAAGACGCAGATCGGAACTAAATTGAACCCAGAGGAGAGAGCAGAGCTGATAGCTTTTCTCCAAGCTAACAATGATGTGTTCGCATGGACTTCGGCAGATATGCTAGGAATTCCAAAGTCAGTGTTTCAACATAAGCTCAGCACCAATCCATTGAAGAAACCAGTGGCCCAGAAGCGGCGTCTCTTCGGGGGGGAGAGGCTTCAGGCTATTAAAGAAGAAGTAGAGAAACTTTTACAAGCTGGTTTTGTCAGGAAAGTTGATTACTGTGAATGGGTGGCTAACCCAGTCCTGGTGAAGAAGGCAAACGGTAAATGACGAATGTGTATCGATTACACAAATCTTAACCACGCCTGCCCTAAGGATTGTTATCCGATGCCGAGCATTGACAAATTAGTTGAAGCGGCTTCAGGCAATGAGAGGTTAAGCCTCTTGGATGCATATTCTGGGTATCACCAGGTGCCGATGGCTCCCGAAGACGAAGAGAAAACCTTGTTCTATGCTGGCGATGAAATCTATTGCTATGTCATGATGCCGTTTGGCTTAAAGAACGCTGGTGCTACTTATCAGAAAATGGTGACCATCGTCTTCCGAGCTCAGATCGGCAAAAATCTGGAGGTGTATGTCGATGACATCGTAGGAAAGAGCCGGAAAACAGAAGACCATCTAGCCGATCTCGATGAAACCTTCAACAACCTCAAAAAGAACAGGATGCGGTTGAACCCAGCCAAATGTATTTTCGGCGTGGAGTCTGGAAAGTTTCT